GATGTTGAAGATTGTGACATGTCTTAGTGGCTTTCTAAACCTTTTCTTATTATTAAAATACTGGAAGCATTATGACTACTTTTGATTTAGTTACAACTAAGACTATGCTGCTAATTAATACAGCAATGCACTTGTAGTGTATTGATTTTCTCTCTTTTTTGGGTATTATCATAATAATAGTTCAAAAATCTTTATTCAAATCACAATAAATAGGGGTATTAACTTCATAGATGGAATTTCTCTTCACAACAAATTTTGAGGGAAATTTTATTTATACTCCATATTTTATTAATTGTATTCTTACAATAAATAAAAACTATATGATAAAAATAATAATGAAAATGTGATTAACAAAAATGAGAGTTCAAATAACATTTGTTAATTTTAATTGTTTTGAGGCCCAATTTTCTCCTATGTTTCTATTGATTTATCATGTGCCAAAATAATTTGATGTTATGTGTTTGACTAAATTTCTAGGGGGCCAAGCTGTGCTTTGCACAGCTCAAGTACCTCTAATATTTTTATTGCATGATTGCATCAGCTGCCAAACAACTGCCGGATAATGGATACTACTATATGTCAAAGCCAAAAAAAAAAAAAAAAAACACACACACACACACACACACACACGCACCTGCACCCTAGTAAATAGTAGAAGAAACAAACAAGTAACATTTAGATCCGATAGAGTTAATAGTAGAATCGGACTGAACGAGCTAAAATCTATATATTTAATAGTTCAATAAATTAAAATATATTATTAGTAGTTGAGTGGTCACATCTTTATTATTCAAAAATTTCAGCGACTACTGGCTAACTCGCTCCCATCTTTTATTGATCTTATCTTCAGTTTCATCCGCTTTACCCGGAGCTTATTGTTAATAGAACTATAGAGTATAGACCATAGTAACCCCCACGATAACCATAACATCAATTCAATTTGGTGTCCAACTGGAATCGATTTGATTATTTGTTATGACAATTCGACGGGTCCATGTAGATTACTATGTGTACAGTTTAATACTAGGAAAATCCTATTAAGTAGAGTCGAAAAAAAAAAAAAAAAAGAAGTAGAGTCGTTCTTACTCTTAGGCAATTTGTTCACAAAAAGGTGTGACTATGACCTTTTTCTTCTTTTTCGGTGAAAACCAGCTTTGACTAGTGACAGCTAGATTAAATAAAACCATTATTATGTTATGTAAATTATATGTGGAAATATCATGGTTTGGAATTTTTCGAGCAAACTTTTCAGACAAAAGAATATGACTTCATTAATTATGAATAATACTTACAACATTTCAAAAAAAAAAAAAACAAAAGAGCCATTCCATTTGCGGATGATCTTGAAAGGGTAATGCACCGTGTTCGTTAGTGTTCATCTGAGATGATTAGTGAGGAAACGAAGGACTCCATGGATTTTTTTTTTTTTTTACAGTAACAACAATATTTCTATAATTTAATCTATCCTAATCTAGAGTCTAAAAAGTCTAAAGCGCTCCATGGATTCATAAATGGAAATTTGTGGGGATGCGGAACTTAAAGATTATACACCGGTTATAAGTCAAAAGTAATGTTTATGTATATTCATCTGTTTCAAGTAACTTTTAGTGCTAAATGTTTGGATTGCTAGTTTTCGCAAGAAAAATTTTAAGAATATTTCTTGACATATTAGAAAGGTTTTGGTTGCCCGAAAATATTCCTATTCTTTTCTAAATTCTTCTTCGAACTAAGACCCCCCATTCTGTATTTAGTACACTAGTGGAGTACATAATTGCAGGAGAATATTTAATCAATCAGATGAATACATGGGAGTACGACTACACGGGTAAACAGAATGATGAATGACACTACTTGGTACCGAACGTTGCCATCAACATTCTTCTAAACAAGACATACCTTACGGATTCTTTAAAACAAAAAGGTAACATCAAGATTATTGAGCACTTGAAAATTAGGGGTGCTATCTAATTGAGTCGAGTTCGGGAATCACCGTGCTCGAGTTTGAATTTGACTCGTTTGAATTTGAGTAAATTGCAACACTTATTAAATTCGAACTATTCGAGTTCGAGTTTAAGTTTTTCTTTTAATATTTTAGATTTATTATATTACCATTTTATCATTTATCACTTTTTTTTTACTAAATATTACTTCATGTAAATTTATTAAAATATGAACCCATAATACTCATTCTTTAATTAAAATATATAATATATAAATAATATAAATACTCGATTCGAAGAGCTTAATTGAGTGTTTACTTCTGATGTTCGAACTCGATTCGTTACACATAACGAATAGTTCAAGCTCGAGCTCGCTAAACTTTTGACCAAGCCGCTCTTATTGGAAACAGACCTCTTCCTTCAAAAAAAAAAAGGAGAGGGGGGGGGGCGTTGGGAGGACCTCCGAAATAAACACCCTTTTTAAATCCTTGAACAGAACTCAGCCAAAGAAAAATAATGCAAAGATGAGAAATTGCCAAAAGTGAGGCAATAGCAGTACATTTTCCCTTAAAATTGATTCATGGAAACAAACCATGTGGTCACAACTTGCACTTTGCGTCCCAGGTGGCTTATCTTTTCCTCCAAGTTGAAGCGTGTCAAAACACTTTGAAGCTACTAAAAATAGCCAAATAAAACGACAAGATTTTGCCGCGAGTTCCTGTTAAAAAACAAATTGTACAGCTCAACAAAACAACTGCAAACGAATGGCAATCATACAAGAGATCCATGGAATCGGTAAAAAGAAATGAAAAAGAACGAATGAAAGTCTTACACCAAAATCTGCATCACAAAGCCGACTATAAAGCGTTCTGTGTGATATGAAAGGTGTAAAGCAAATTTGCAATCATACACGGCCGCCCCAATTAATGAAAAGCACCTTTACCAAGCCTAGCAATTATAGACTTATATTATAGTATGCGCGTTTGTTTAGGATTGTCCCCATAGTTATTAGTATTATACTTAGTTTAGCATGTTTTTAGGCCTCTGCTTAATAAAAAGGAGATATCTTAACCCTTCACCTTCGCAAGAAGTGCAATTTCCGGGCAACATTGTATACCTGCTCTCGACCCCACTAAGCTTTCTTTGTCTGAATAGTGAGACTTTTGTTGACAACTTGTCAAGTGATTATGACATGTGTTTTTGCTATTGTGACATGGGCTTGTCCATAAATTATTAATGTTCATCGGATACTTGTTAAGAAAAACAGTTAGGTTGTGTTTGGATTGTATTTTTCATGATTTTTTATGAAAAAATTACTGTAGCGATTTGATGTATGTGAGAAAAAAATGTAATAAAGAAATATGATCACGGAAAACGACGTAATTTTTCGACGGAAAACGGCAATCCAAACAAGGCCTTAATTTTTTGTAGACTGAAATTAATAAAAAAAAAAGTGTTTAAATAGATCGTGTATTAAATGTAAATATGTGTATTTATATGCTAATTAAGTTTGAGTAAATATATTTTTGTATATGCATTCACATACTAAATTAAATATAATTTAATTATATTAACGATGCCCTTTTTTTTAAACTTTTTCTCTTTTAATAAATGAAAGGTCTCGAACCAAGTCTCTTATTTACAATTTTTCTATTTTATCGTTCAATCCGACCTTCCCTCGCTAACTAACGATGCGTGCTCGCTAGTAAAAATGTTATGTAACGTTATGTCAGCAAGCAAAGAATCCCATAACGTTATCAATTCGTATTATGGACCGTACATTTGTTTCCTATTGATCTCGAGTTTGATTTCTTTTGGTGCTGCTAGACAACTCAACATCCTGGAGAGTTTCTGAAATCCCCGTCCAGTCCAGGTACAAGTTGATGAGATTTGTAGACAGAAATGTACAATTAACTTCAGCGTGTACTCAAAGTTGATGAAAGGGGGTGTACTCAAAGTTGATGGCGTCATGCGATTATTAAAATTAAGATGCACGGCTGTCAACGGGTCGGGTCCGGGCCGGAATTCATTATTCCGGACCCGGACCCGAATTGCTATTCCTGACCCAGACCCGACCCGTTTATCCGACGGGTCTTTTATTTCATGTTCCGGATCCGGATCCGGCGGGTCCCGGATCCAGGTCGGGTCTACCCGAACAAATTTAGCAAAATTTATAATTTCTAATAAAAATGAGAAAAAAATATATTTGTAAACTAATTTCTAACTAATGCAAAGAAAAAACCAAATAAGAAAAGAAATTAAATTGACTTTACTCAAATACATCACCCTAATCAAATTGTATTGATAAATATATATTTTTTAAATTATTAATTCATTTATATCCGGATCCGGGTCTAATACGGGTCGGAATACTATATTCCGTATCCGACCCGTTTTTGTTTGACAAAACGAATCCAGATCCGGATCCGGAAAACGGAATTAAATCCCTACCCATACCCGCAATAATTTCACGGATTCGGTCCGGATCCGGGTTTAGACCCGACCCGTTGACAGGCCTAGATGCACGGGCTCGAATGATTCATTCATGCACGAAAGGAATATCTCCAACTCAGGATAATTATGAAGCCAACCAAGAACTCAACCAAATCTTAGGACCTGTTCTAACAAAGTTACAACTAGGTACACTCTAAACCCCGTTCTGCTTTCGTTTAATTATTTATTTCTCTTTTTCACTATGATGATTTATGTAGAATGACGAAAGAAAGAGAAAAACAACATCATGAATCTAATTTATTCACACTTTATTATTAAAGAAAAATCATCCTATAACATCCAGTAAACGAATCTAATTAAGTCAAATATTTTAATATTTAAATTTATTTAATTATTCTAATAATTTTAAAATTTTATTTTTATGTAACTTATTTATTTCTCGAATCAAATTTGGGTGAATTTTAATTATTTCAATTTAATTTAACTAATTGATGAACCAAACTCGAACTGGGCCGGATCAAACCAAACTCCAATTTAAATATCAACTAGTTTAATTCATCCTTCTACTCCAAACTTCTATCGTATCAAAGTCTTTTGGTAGCTTTGCTTAAGTTATGGATAGGAAAACAAAAATAACAGGAGTGTCTTGAAGTCGAAGTACCAACAAACAGGCGTCGGATTCGGAACGGCATCGGCGGTTGTCGCCGGTTTATCATCGTCGTAACTCCCGTTATTAAGACCAGATCTTTTCTAGAATCAATCCAAACAATCCTCAGCAGGCGGATTTCACCCGCAAGTCCACTAACAAAACCTTCCAATCAACGAAAACTCGCCCGCTGCTTCAAATAGTAGTATTATACTCCCTCTTTCCAATCCAGCCCCAACTCGCCTTAACCTTCGCCCTCACACTTCAACCATTATTACAACCCCTACCCCTATCCATTCCCTCTCCGTTTGTCCCGTAATTTTCTCCAAATATAAGGGCCTATATTTTCCGAATCTTTCAACTAAATCCTCCATTTTCCCTTTTTCTCCTCTTCACTCCACCAGCTCAAATTTTCCACTCCACTTTAGTCCTCAACAGTCGAATGCCGATGCCGGAGGCCGAAGGGCATGGTAAAAACAAACCGAGAGCAACTCGTCCTCCGGTTAGGGAACCGGTTCGACCACAACGAGTCCCCTTACGTTTTCTTCTCCGAGTCTCATCCGTCGCGTGCGGAATTCAGTTCGGTTGGGCGCTACAGTTATCGTTACTGACTCCCTACGTACAAGAACTCGGGATTCCTCACGCCTGGGCGAGTATAATATGGTTATGCGGACCGATTTCCGGTTTTTTCGTTCAACCGCTGGTTGGTCACATGAGCGATCGGTGCAAAAGTCGGCTCGGCCGTCGAAGGCCTTTTATTATTGCCGGCGCGGCATCGATCGTCGTTGCCGTTCTCGTCATCGGTTTCTCGGCTGATATCGGCTGGCTTTTCGGCGACCGCGGGGAAATCAAGCTACGCGCTATTGTGGCTTTCGTCATAGGGTTTTGGCTCCTCGATGTTGCGAATAACATGACGCAAGGTCCTTGTAGAGCTCTCCTCGCTGATCTAACTGGTACGTACTCCATACGCATGTATACGTACTTTATACGCGAGGCATACGTATAGTATGCGTGAATTTAAGTTTAATTTAATTTGCATGCAAGATGGGAACGCTGAGCTCTGTAAGTTAGTGATGGTACAAAAATTATGCAAAATTTTACTGAATTATATCCTCAACCTCCAAAAAAACATTTTAAAATATTTTTGCTGAATATATTTGGATTTCTCTTTTACGTGCCGGCCGTCTGCTCTGCTGAGCTGAATATTTTCTCGAAATGCTCGCAATTATACTTGTGTTTATTTATTTATTTTTGTGTCGTATTTTCTTGGGAAACGTGACGATATGTTTTACTTTTTTAATGTTTTGGACATGTGCGGCGTAAACTTTTGGTGAGTGAAAGGGGAAGTTTTAATCATGGAAGTCGCTTGGAGTTATTATGGAGCCATTGGGGTCGAGGCTACGAGGAATAATGATGTTCTAGGCGTTTTAATTGAGTATGACATTGACTCTAATGCCCTCAGAGCTGGAATTGTGGAACTGGTGGATCCCTCGGTGCATTTCTTCCTTTGGGAAATACTGGGCTCCAAGAAGAAAAGAAGTGACTGAAAGAAGAAGCAAAGAAAAAAGTGGTGCTTGATTTTCCTTCGTCTTTTTGCACATAAGCAATGGGCCCCGGCTTAGGGATGATTTTTTAGTTTTAGTAAGATCATTCAGATAAAGTAAGAAATGATTAAAATATTTACAATGCCCTCCAATTTTAACTGTGGTAATTACGAGCGCAAATAACTTTTTCTTTGCATAACGTTGTGTTGCTTAGGGATTAATGCATTTGCCGGTGATTTAACTGTTTGGGCTACTATATGTGGAATCCCATTCACTTAGAAGGGAATTGGTTAGTATATTAAATTTACAAGTGCTCCTCGTAGCATGACTGACATTGCACTTGAGTTGAAATGACTGCAGAGACCTATACGAAGATGTTGACGCTCTAAAGTTACTTTAGTCATCAAGTCATAGACTTTTGATTCTGGAATGTGGTTAGTGACACATTATGTGGAACTATATAACTCTTTTAATGCCTCAATTCTTGGAGCGAATGATTGATGGGGCTATGCATGATTCCTACATCTTTTTACACGGTATTGCATTGTGAAAGTGCATAATGTTGAGTAATAAGTCATGCTGGAATTCCACATAAGGTACTTGCGAATTTAAGGTGAAATGCTTGTTGGAAAAGTGTGGTTCTTTAGCTGATAACAGATGGTATAAGTGGGAAGTATATGGTTGAAGATATGTGGCAGCAGATGTAGATTTATTTATCAGATATAATTAACTTAGAGCATATTAGTGTAGCATGGCTTCATAGAGTTATGTCGTCAATTATCTGATACGTTTCTATCCTCATAGAAGGAGAAAAACAAACTCACGCTATCAGTTCCAGCAAGTTCATGGTCTGTGCTTTTTTTATTTCAATCTTCTCCCCCAGGGAAAGAGGTGATAACTTGCACCCACAGCCAATCAGAAATTAACGCTTGCCATTTTACTGTTTCATATTAGAAAAGGATCACCGGAGGACTCGAGTAGCAAATGCATATTTTTCACTATGGATGGCTGTTGGAAATATCCTTGGCTATGCCACTGGAGCTTACAGTGGTTGGTTCAAACTTTTACCCTTTACGCTCAGTTCTGCGTGCAACGTCAACTGTGCAAATCTTAAGGCCGCCTTCCTTATTGACATTATCTTTATAGCAATTACGACATATATAAGCATATCAGGAGCCCAGGAGAAGCCGCTGGATTCCCTCCATGGTTCACCTGCTTCTGTAGAAGGAAGTTCTGAACAGTCAAGCCATGAACAAGAAGCTTTCCTTTGGGAAATGTTTGGAACTTTTAAATATTTCACTGGGGTTATATGGATTATCTTGCTTGCTATTGCTTTGAATTGGATTGGATGGTTTCCTTTTCTTCTCTTTGATACTGATTGGATGGGGCGAGAAATTTATGGTGGGGAGCCAAATGTTGGCCAGAATTACAGTGTTGGAGTCAGAATGGGTGCTTTTGGTCTAATGTTGAATTCAGTGTTCCTTGGAGTAACTTCAGTGCTCATGGAGAAGCTCTGCCGGAAATGGGGGGCTGGTTTTACATGGGGAGTTTCAAACATCATCATGTCTCTTTGTTTTGTTGCAATGCTTATAATTGCTGCAGTCAGAACTCATATGGACATTGGTGACCATCTTCCTCCAGATGGTGTTGTGATTGCTGCACTGGTAGTATTTTCCATTCTTGGGATTCCCCTCGCGGTATGTATCTTTACTTTTTGTACCAAGTCTTACCCAGAGATTAAGTTTGAGGCTTTGTAATTTATTTTGCTGAGCTCTTTCAGGATTGCCTATATTGTTGAACAGATTAGCGAATTGGCTATTTAAAAGGACCTAGGAATTAATTATTCATCCTGATATTCCTTTGGAAGTACTTAGATATCCAAGTTTGGAGCATTTCGTGAAAGAACCCAACCTTGTTACTTGCTTTGCAGATAACCTACAGTGTTCCCTATGCCTTGATATCCTCACGGATTGATGCTTTAGGGCTTGGCCAGGGTATGTGTTTTTAAACATTTTGACCTTATACTGATGGAAAGGCATGAATCTTTGAGCCATGCATTTCAACCATGCAGGATTGTCAATGGGTGTTCTCAATTTGGCAATTGTGGTCCCACAGGTATAGATCTGGTTCTCTCAAGAGTTATTCCATTTGTTGGTTCACTGGTTTTGGTTCATTTTACTGCCATCTAGGTTGTCTAAGCTAGCATTGACTCGCTCTTGGAAGAGACTGGTTACATTCATCTGGCAGGTTAAACCTAAACAGAGTTTTCCAAAAATTGATTTTGAAACCAGTTTTCACTAATGAAATAACATAGTTGACAATTAAATTACCAGTTTGAAACATCCACTTCAATTTGATCTGTCAACCTTTGGTGTAAAAAAAAAAAAAAAGTATGAAGACCAAGCAAGACTAGGAGAAAGAACATTTCAGAATACAATTTTCTACATCACATGGCACCTTTGTTTTGCCAGCTTTACCTTTTCCTCTGTCATTTTTTTGAGGATGGAATTTAAGCTGGAAATGAACATATTAACATGCCCGTCTTTGTAGGATGGTATGCATGCATATTTTCTACTTAACTCAGTGATTTACATAAAACCCATTTGATCTATTTACAGACAGGCCTGAATTAGGACTTCATTTCATGATATTGAAGTAGCAACCGTTCTATCGTTCTGTCATGTTTATTGCTTTTCTTCTTTTAGATTTTGTAAACACAATATCCAAGTTTTGGCAGATACCATCTGAATTGAGGGCAGAATTATGTGACGTGTAGTATCCCGTCCCCACATCTCCTATCCTCTTATCCACCACACTTTTTTGCACCATATTCCTTCCTTTTTCTTCTTTCTTGTCTGTTTTCCTCTCTTATTTTCCCTTTTTTTTTTTTTGTTGTGGGGGGGGGGGGGGGGAGAGGTGGGGAGAGAGATGTGTTATACAACTAATCCTAAAAATGGCATGTTGTTGATGACATGTCTTTGGATTTTGACAATAGATTTTGGTCTCTCTTGGAAGCGGACCTTGGGATGAGCTATTTGGTGGTGGCAACTCACCAGCCTTTGCAGTTGCAGCTGTTTCAGCATTTGCTAGTGGACTCATAGCCATTCTGGCAATTCCTCGAACAAGGGTGGAAAAATCAAGAATCCTCCCCTGAGGTATGATAGGTAAACACGAATTTAAGAAGATTTCCATGTACTTCAGTAAATAAACAAAATTTACTGGATTTTGGTGACATACAAGTTTCCATCCTGAACGCTTTTTTGGGACTAATGTTAAAATAATCATGAGTGTATTTACTGCCTTCACTTTTTCTTCTCCTTTTGTATTTTCCTTGCACTCATGAACTGCCAACTTGTGAATACTATCAGAACACCCAATATGACGATATATTGTGGTTAGAATATATTTTAGTTTTCTTAGAGGGCGTTAAATAAATATTTTTTCTTCAATTCAAAGACGATACCGTCTTTCCTCTGATTTTGTATTTCTTTCTTAGGCTATTTACTTGAAGTAATTTTGCTGCTGCCCACCATTGGATTGGCGTCTTATGGGAGCCAAGGATATGGTGCAGGTGAATCCCAATGCTGGCAGGAACTTAAATCATTGTGGCATGTGGAATTTTGGCTATTCCACCATCAAAGGATTAATATCCAGGCTCCACAATGAGGTATTTTGTTGTATCGAATTTTTTGGCACAATGTGTTAGCAACAGAGTTCTATAACTCAAGATTTTGTCAATAGCTTTGGATGATATTTATTTCAACATATTCAATTTATTTCTACTTTCTGTATGTGGAAACAAAATCGAGTCTGTAATTAAGATGTAAAATTTCTTTTATGCTTGTTATACTATTGATATCAAAAGAATCCTATCATACATCAATATCGCTAATCTCGCTGGACTCTGCTGTAGCTGGACAATAACAACTAGGGGGTAAAAATCCTCGTGCTTGTTACATATTACATATTTATGTTTTTAATTGTGATCTTTCCTTTCTCATTTGGATTGCTATATTCTCGCCTTGCTCCAAGCTGAGGTACTCTATAGTCAGGTTTCTTTGAGCGCACTTCTTGATTCTGCTTTCAGCAGATTTTAGCTGAGGATAATAACAAGCATGATTATAGAAAAAGAATGCCATTGCTTGTTTTGTGTGTTAACATCTCCAAGTATAGACATTACGCAGGGTAAAACTGTATGTTGCAAGTAAATTCTATTATATGGAAATCCATGGTTAGCTTTTTTTTTGGAGCAAAGGAAGACATTCACTTCCTAGTTTGTAGTGAGCTTCTGGGTCTATTGTTTCAAAAGTTTCCATTGGGTGGATTTCCTGAAGCAATTAGGGCTTGATATGCAAGTTAGATCAAGGTTATATTGAAAACATTTGGGCTATGGAAATTAGATCGAGGTTTGAAACGTTTGGGCTGTTGGTGAACGTAAAATTTGCCAAGCGCTGAGGAGTAGTATGGTACTATGCACCCCAACTGCTCATTTTCCTTGTCAGTTGACCAGGGACTGAAGCGCTGATGAAATGTAAACAAGTTTCTTGTGGATTGAAGACCTAATGAAAAGGAGTGGACTCCTGTGGAGCTTCTTTCTCTTGGACATTGGTGGATTTGACACTCAAATGAGCATTCCTTCCTCTGACATGAATGTTATCATCTCAGGACTGCTGCAATTTGCTCGATTTCTCTAGCAGTCTTGAGTACTCTAGGAATAAGTTACTTTTGCTGTTAGTCTCTTCATGCAGGAAATAGCAAATTCAACTAAGATCAACATTTGAGATTGTTGTAGCATCTAAAACTAAGAAGATTTTTATTAAGATTCAAGGGAGGTGGTTTTGGTGGCGTTCATGTGGTTAAACGAAAAGAAGCTTCGTCAGTAGTTCCAGGTTATGCAATTACTATCTTTTGGTTTATAGTTTCTAAGCTACACTTCATGGGGATATATTTACTAAAGCAAAATCTTTTGTATGCAATGTTTATTTATTAGAGGAATTTCGACTGCTTACAAGTGATGCGGTTTTGATAATGTGCTGGAATCTATGAATCTGAACCTTTGGTGTGCAAAATTGCTAAATGTTTCCTGTAAGGTATATGATTGGTGGCTAACAGTTCATGGAATGATGCCTTGATTGTGACTTCAACGTAGATGTCTTGGTACATTGTATTCTTTTCGTACATTTTCTGAAACTTGTAATCCATAAGGTTTGGTTGATTTCTGTGAAGGATTCCCTCTTCCGTTATTCTCTCTTTTCCTTCCTTGCATCTGAACCTTGGAATAAATTCCTATTATGTATTTTGCACTAGTGAGCATCAATCGAAGGAAGGTCTGCCTTCTGCAGACTGGGTAGAGCTTCTTGTTAGTGCACCAGAAACATCTGTAAAGTCTCTCCTAAAATGAGATAATAAGCACGATAAATGTCATTTAGGAGTTGCTTTAAATTGAAACACATAGTGAGAGTTAAGTTTGTCTGGAATCAACTTTGGAATGACAAGATATTTTTCGTAAGAATAATGTATCTGTTCTCCTCATCAAGTTTCCTGGATGGCCCTTTTGCAGATACAGTGTAAATTAAAGTTAATGGACTAAACAACTTGATGGCGCAGAGAAAGGAGAGAATAATAGCGCCCCCCCCCCCAAAACTCCCTATTTGCTAGGAAGAAACCGGTATCGAGGAATCTGTTCTTGTTAGTTGTTACAGAATAATTATTCTTCTCCTCCTCTTCAGTGACTTTCACTGAAACAGGGAAATAACTTGAACGATGAGGAAATGCTTTTGCTGTTTTAGTGAGTTGCTTTACGGTTTAAGCCTTGGCAGTACAACAATGTGGTTGAGCCCTGTTTCTGATCCTGCATATAAGAATAACTAAAAAAAAAACCTCAGGTATCAATTATCACATTGGGCCGTGCACGTGAATCAGATCCATTCCATTTCTTGATCCTAGAACTTTGTCAATTTTTCCCTAGCTATGGTGTCATGGAATCAAACTCCATGGTGAACCCCACTTCCCCAGTTAGGGTGGCAAAATCTCAAATTGGTTTTGTTATAACTACATTGCTAAATATGCAAACGAACGGGACAGAAAAAATGAAACAGAAGAAGAATGCAACAAACAATTTTTGAAGACTGGACAATTACCTCCAAAGGTTCTGCTGCACCACGCAGGGTAAACAGGAAAGAGCACTCTCTTATCTTCTCTCTCACAGCTGCAAAAATTATATTATTGGAGCTGGAGACACATGTAGTCTGACAGCGCGATATATGTTTGATTCAAAGGAAATTAATAATATTTCTTGCAGAAAGGAACAAAGAAAGGGGAGGCTGATTCTTGAAGTTGCTCAGACTCTCAGACTGTGACTGTGAACCTCTCCTCTGTGTGTGTGTGTGTGTGTGAAAAATACAGTGACAGAAAATCAGTGCTGTTCTTGGTTTCAGAGAGAGGGAGGAGATGATGGCGGAGGCCTCCTATCTACGGCTTACAGACAGTCTCCAGTGACACGAGCGGAGGCCCCCACTTTGAGACACTATCTTCCGTGTTGTGAGAAATGGGATACAAATTAAATGGCTGCAATTCTTGCACGTACTTATCTTTCAAAATGTGTTTCCTTTCTTCCATCTGCCGGTTCCCAATACAGCCATGAACTGTCAACCCCATTAACCATTGTGGTCCCTCCCACCCTTTGCATGATAGATAGATAGTAGACGGATGGATAAAATACCAACCTCCACCACCACCACCCCCCACCCTCCCTCTTCACCCCATGTATGCAAGAAGTGCATGAGGATAAACTTTTATATTGCCATATTAAAAAGGTTAAAAGATCCACAGGACTTGCACTTTTGGCCCCTTCAACTTCCCTCGTCCTGTTACTGTTGGTGGTACGTCTTTGTTTGTAGCCAAGGGACCAGCCAGCATTGTAGAGTGGACACAGGACCCCCCCCCCCCCTTCTGTTTTTTGGAGGAGATTTGAACTGCTCTTCATATATATATATATATATATGTCTTTGATTATCTCAATCTCAATCATGAAGAGCAACTCTACAGCACAGTTATTATTAGACGTTTCAAGGTCTCATTATCGAGTGCAAACTGGGGTTGAAACCAACAGGGCACCAACCCCATTCGTCACTAACCTAGTTGCATTAAAGATAGAGCAAAAGATCTCCCACAAATGAAGGTCCCCTTTTATCATTAGGACGACTCGAAGCAAGCATTGCCAGCCCACATCAAAAAGGCCCACCAAAAACCGACATTTTATATCTTGATTAGACTTAATATGGTTGATGGCTTAAGATCTTTGGAGGAAGCCAAAACACGGCCAGCCGCTTCTTGGCAGGAAACAATGATAACTCCTATTCTTACTACAAGTCTCTCTACTCAATATGTGTCGCCCCATTCATTGGTTGGTTCACTATTACACAACATAGGGAGCCAAAACCAAATGGGGCCTCAAAACACAGAAATTACATAAAACTTGTAGCTCTCAAAATGGGCAAGTAGCCAGGGGGCGTTTGGCTGTTGAAAGCGGTTGAAGACAACAGAAGTCATGCTTGACTATGGAGCATCACATGGGCTGTGAAAGAAGCTACATGCATGGTTGCCTTAGAACATGCCAGCATTTTAATGGCCACACTTCGCTGCCCTGTCAAATTATATGCCAATATGCTGCGTCATTTCAACACAACTACAAGGGAATTGGATTGCTCGTCAATCCATTCAATCCACTTGGCAATCCGAAGATAACCTCTTTTTTTTTTTTTTTTTTAAAAAAAATATTCCTGTGATGCTTTCTTCACTTTGAGTTGAGACTTCTTGAGAGTAGAAGAGATGGCGTAGTGACCAAAACCTAAAAAAGAGAAGGTTTAAAAGATTATCCTCCAAAAGTTAACCAACCTACAACTAACTAAAAAAAACCCTCCTTGACATATGCCACACAACACAAGAGCACTTCATGATGGCAAATAAAACCTAGCTTCTTGGAGACAGGCACAGGTTGATGCTTATGGTGGACGGTTTAAAACAAATGCATCCACCACCTATATCATTTATTAAATAATAACTATAAAGAGAAACCATCTCAATTAAAGTATTCAGTTCACCACTAATGACTATTTACTAGATAAGATCAAAGAGTTTTATTAATCTAACGTATGGCTGTGTTATACTTGTGCCAGGGCCCTATTCTCCATCTGTTAAAAACAACAATAACACTTGAAAACGAAGTCCGCAGTCCATCATTTGACATCTGTCCCGATTGAGAGAAGATAAAACGAAGAAAGTAATTACTACAAGTCTTCGAGATAAAAAGAGGGGGGCGGGGGAATAGTAAGGAGTTGTAAGAGGGAGCGGTTGAAAAGATAGGTCGGTCCCTATCCCTTCTCTTCAAAAGCTCTATGGTGGTCTTTATGGCAAATGGTTGGGGTAGGCCCGGTTATATAGTCGAAATTTTGTCACACCACCCTGCTACTAATTCAAGAATTGAAGATTTTACAACATTGGAACCATATTATAACTTATTATATGACCAGGTCTATCTATTTTTGCCGGCCTTTATTAGCAGTCGTGATACACAGCATTCCTTTCGTTCATACACATTTATGAGACTCTGTAATCTGCATATTGACACGTTTTGGGGAGCAACGAGGGTAGGCCCCAATTTCTACATGTATATATACTCAGCTAATATCCCTCATCACTTGCACTCAAAACCTCTACACACGACCGAGAAAAAAAAAAAAAACCACACCAAAATCCCAAACGAACAGGATTTTCCTTATTTACTTTGAAAGCCATAGAATAATCATTAACATCTCTCCAAGACTTCAACCAAGGAGAGCCTTCAAGCTTATTCTCTCAGCTAGCACACATATTTCTACTACC